GGGTAAAGCATGGAGATAACATTGGGAATTGGCTATTTAAATTGCTTTCGTGCTTCGCTGTTCTTGATCCCTCGGTTGATGTTCCAGTTTCATTACCTTCAAGCAACTGTGCTGAAGTTGTACAGGACAAGTGATGGTGAAGAGCTTACAGTGCTCAGTTCTGGGAAATGCGTTTATTCGGGTCAAAGCCAGTGAGACTGTACACCACTGGTTCTTGGGTGTGTTTCTGAAGATGGTGGCCAGATATGAATAGAGACGTGAGGTATGAAGGACTGGAGGTTTTTGTAATGAGCAGAGGATTTTGGGAAGCTGAGTTGGAAAGACAATTCCCTGCAGTTGATGAGTCTAAAGTAAGAGTACACTCATTTTAAAGGCAAGAATAAGAGAGCTACCAAACATTTGGCAGCGGTTTTGTGGCCCAGATGGACTCTTGCATGATACCTTGTAATGACCGTACAATCAGAATGCCCTGATAGTCTTTCTTCAAAGCACTGTATCTTCCTGTCTTCAAAAAGACTTTTACCTTTTCAGTCTCAAAAAGTACAGTTCTCTGACTTGGCCACTCCCTGTGAAAAAGCACTGTATGTTCCAGTAAATAACTGGAATTAAAGTAGAACAATTTGATTTCGTTTCATTTGTTGAAACAAAGGATTGGTGCAACTGCCTCCCTTTCTGTTTTGTGGGAGGGCCAAATGAATCTTCTCAGAGATTGTTAGTTTTCCTCCCCCACAAAAGCTCCATGGGTTGTCATATTTCTGTTACCTATCATTAAAGGGAGAGTCAAGAGAGTGGCTAGGAAGGCAGATTGGTTTGTTCCATCAGTGTGAGCCCTCTGTTTAACGGCAGTGGTTAGGGAGCAATGTAAAGCATTCAGTTACGATTGTATTCCATTGGTGGAGCAGGCTTGAAGGGCAGAGATGCCAACTTTTGCTTGTAATCCATATGTTGGTGCATATGCAGAGGACTTCCACTACAATACATAGCACAGGAATAACTCCAGTCCCATCATGCTGGCATTGTCTACTGCATACTCAACTAGAGCTGGTGAACCTACTGAGAAACACCATTTCTGCAGTTCAGTGTCACCACAGGTCAAGCCTACCACTTGGCTGAAATCTCCGCTTTTCTGGAAAATTTTTTTGCTGGAAGCCCTGCTGGGTTGCGTGGCTTTGTTCTGACCTCAGACCATATCACGCAAAAGTTTGATCTGTGTGGACAGACGCTTTGGGAGCAAGGCCTACATTTCTGGCCCAGTGTTTCTCCAAACCAGTGTGGAAAACTTGCTGTGTGAGTTGTCACAGGGGCAAAAGAAGTATCCAACAGAGGATGAGGATTCGAGAGTCCTGCCCTATTTCTGAGGAACATGCAAATAGGAGGAGACCATCCAGAGCCTTGAACCTGCTCGGCCATTTGATAAGAATATACCTAGATACTAATTTTGCCCAATATCCTGTACTGAGTCTAGGAGATAAAATTTACAATTGATATGGCATCAAATGTATTTGTAGATGAAAGTTCCAAGTTTCTGTCGCCCTTTCACTAATTACCATTTTGGAATTTCACAATTGAAAGGTCGTAATCTAATTGTAATACGATTCTCCTTTGTATGAGACTCTCTGACACCATCGGATGCCTCTCGACGATATCTGCCACTCATAACTTGAAAATCCTTATCAATTGGCTCTTTAACCATCTAAGTTGCAGAAACTGTCTCTGTATCCCAAGCCGCATCTTTTGCCGATCCAAGAATCCAAGTACAGGTGTCTTTATGTGCTCCTGACGCCCACCTTTTCGCTCATCAGGTTTTTGCAAGGAATGGGATAAATAGTTTGAGGGAGCGAGCAAGCAAACTTGTGTTAAAATACCGCTTTTTTAAAAAATGCAAACACCACTGTAACGTAGAAAATGCGTGAGCCAGTTTGCACACAGCATCCCTCAAAGCACTTTGAGTTAAATGACCAGGTAATCCAGTTTTTGCCTTTTCATTAATATTGGCAGGAGTAAATTCTGGCCAGGATATGACCCTGCTTTGCTTGGATTCATTTGCGTCCGGAGATTTTCGTGGTATACACCGGAGAGATCAGACAGTGTTTCTGTTTAATATCTTATTTGAAAGAGGCACTTCCAACAGTGCACCTCTCCGTCAGCATTGCGCCAGTGTTTAGTCTGGATTCTTTGCTTGAGTCTCTGGAATGGAACTTGAACCTATGTCTGTCAGAATTCAATGAGATTCATGATGATGGAGCTAGCTCTCTGCACAGCAATCTAATCCATCCCTCTGGATACTCAATCTCTAGTTCTAGAAGTTTCTTTCCCTCAGGTGACCATCATGTTTCTATGTTCAAGACAGAGATTGATAGATTTCTCCATTTTTTTTTTCTGTTGAACCTTCTGGCTCAGAGGCAGGGACAATTCCAATGCCTGAAAGGGGCCCCACATTGACTTCTAGAGATTAAACAGAGAGACTAGAACAAGAGACGGTTTAAAAATTAGAGGCGTCTGTCTTAAAATGGCAGTGAAGAGATTTTTTTTTTCTTTGCAGTTTGTTGGCCTGTGTTATTCTCTTCCCTGGAAAGCAATGGAGGCTCGTTCATGTGAAGAAAAATTTTGTTTTTTGATAAGCGAACGAGTCACTGGTTAGCAAGGGAGGGGTTATGTGGCACAGTCAGGAGAATGGAGTTGAGACCACGAGCAGATCTGCCATTATCTTGCTGAATGGCCGATTCCTGTTCCTCCTCGGTTCAAAGTTACAAAATACACTGAAGGATATGGGATAGTGTGGGAAAATAGGATGAGGCAGATTATTGCACATGATGTAGGTGAATGGTGGAGCAGGCTCAAAGGGGCTGAATGGCCTACTTTTCAAATTTCAAATATTGCACATTTCCTTGTGAAATAATGGATTTTCTTTGCTTCCACCACCCTTGAAGTTATAGAGTTGCCCTGCACAAAATAAGTTCTTGGCGTGTCCCAGCTGCATCTTTTGTCAATGCCTTGAATTTGTGTCGCCTAATCCTGCCGTCTTTTTTTAACATGGACCTGTTCAGTGATGTCATAACACACCTCTGAAGGAGGTGGGACCTCAACCAGGCCTCCTGGCCCATAGATAGGGACACTACCACTGCACCTGAAGGGCCTTGTTGCCTTTAGACCATTAGCTGTTTGGAAGAGCAATTTTGTAGATGTGACCTAGTCGGTGTTTCGTATTGACAGCTGACACCCTCTCCCGTGAATGTGTTGCCTTCGCTGACAGACATTTAGATCTGCACTTGTCCAACGCAACTCTGGAAGTAAAAGACATTTGCTTTTTATACGAAGCATCTTCATCCTAATAACTTCAATGTAACTTATCCAGCAAACTCATGGAACTGATCGATCTGAATCAGTACTGAGTGAGATAACTCGCATGGGATTCCAGTTGTCTGTTGCGAATGACCTTGAGGGGTCGTAGGAGTGAAAGGAGGTGGACGTTAGGGGTCAAGTTTCTGATCAGTGCCTGGTGGGTACTCCTGTCCTGTCAACCACTGCCCTCCATGAGAGAGAGGCTTTTAATAGCTTGCAACACCACCTCCCCCGAGCCCCCGCCATGGCAAAAAAAAAATCCGTTGATACTGTGTGTGCTCTCGTGACGAATGTGTGAGGTATCAGGTCGTGCTGGCAGCTTGTGTAACCAGACCAGAAGGATAAGATTACAGTGCAGAAGGAGGTCACTCGAGTTTCACTCAACTCCATCTCAGGCCCTCACCCCAAAGCCATGATATCCACGACTGCCACACCCCCACCCAATTTTCTTAGCTCAGATCAGCACTGTAAGGTAAAGAAAGAGTACAGACTAGCATACACCTTCAGCAAGAAAGGGGAGGAAGCTGCAGAACAGGCTGTGTGACTGGCCTTGTTGATGGGAGCTGGCTGGTGTTTGGTTTCTTCATCCTACAGCTCTGTAACCTCTTCATCAACTCTGCCAGGTTCTGTTATTCACCAGTGACTCAGCTGCTTTATTCAATATCACAAGCCTCCTGTGTGCATTTCACAAAGTGCTGTATTGCACTAGCTTTCATCGGTCTCATTCATTTGACAAATGACATCATTTGAGGTCAGGAGGAAAAGTTGAGGAAGAGGAAAATAGAATAATAGAATGGATACAGCACAAATCATGATCATTTGGTTCTTTTAAGAACAGCTCTGCTCCACCCCCCCACCCCTTTGCCTTTTTCCTGGCAATTCTCTCTTCCCCTTCAGGTAAAGATCCTGTGTTTTCTTTTCAATTTGCATCCAAAACACACTGGAGCAGTGCACTTCAGGTCCAAGCTACTGACTGCATTTAAAAATGACTTCCTTCATGTTGCCATTTGCTTTTTTTTTGACCATCATAAGTCCGTGTCCTCTGACTCCAAACCCTTGAGCCGACGGGAACAGTTTGTCTTTAACTGCTTTTCCCAAACCCTTCATTATTTGAAACACCTATCGACTGGAGAGTGAACTGATTAGATGCCTCCATGATGACATAAGGGAATGATGTGTCATGTAAAGGCGAAGGTTGACGTAACGAAGATGCTTCCACTTGCAGACAGAGCCAGAATTAAGGGCTGTAAGTAAAGGACAGCCACTCATAAATCCAAAAGAGCGTGTAGGATAAACATTTTACCTTTGGATTCAACTGTGTTCTGGTGGGTAGAAAAAAAACTGTGTTAAGGGGCTTGGATCATCTTCCAGGCTCCCGTAAGGATTGGCCTCCTTCCAAACGCAGTGGGAAGCTTCTGGTACCCATGGGCCTTGACTCCAAAAGTCTGCAATGTCCAGGGAGGAGAGGAAATAACTAATTAAAAGATAGTTTCCACCAAGAATAGTTCTGTAGTACGCACTTGTTTTAAGGAATGTGCTATCAGCACTGGTTCGTAACATCGAATTGAGTGATTGTAACTTTCTTGCATCCTCTGCGTTGTTCCCATCTCCTTCCTTGGTTTAATAGTTTCTTTTTTCAAAATGTTTTTCCTTTGCAGGAATGGACGCACCCATATGATACTTTCAACATGCACTCACTGGAGAACTCCCTGATTGACATCTTACAGAACGAACAGGAACCACTCAAGGGTGAGTCTCATGGCCATCTTGGCTTGTGTATTTCCCCCATTGAATAGTTGGGCCAGTACTTTGTTCATGTGGTCATTTCCATGTGATTTTCATGGGTCTGCTGAACTGATGTGCATTTGCATGAGTCTCACAAGGAGGTAATGGGTGCCACATGCGGGAAGTATGAAAGAAGAGTGGTGCATGCATACAAAGAAATAACTGCATTTGCATAATGCCTTTCACATCCTCACAATATTTCCCAAAAGAGTCTTGAAGTGATGAGCGCAGCAAAATCCCACTATCAACCAATGAACTGGTCGTGGTTATGTCTTTACCTTAGCAGTGTTGGGTTTGGTCTTGTGAAATGGGGAAGATCATGGGCAAACAGTGTGCACTGACAATCTAGAATATGTATTAGCAGTTTATACATCTGGCTATAAGCTTACAACAGGGCAACAACTGGGGAAAAAAAATGGCAGTTAACGATTAACTGGAGTTTATGGAGTAGCTTGCACAATCAAACAAGGTCCCAATAGAATTTATGGACAATGTCCTGGAAAAAATATGGTCTCCATGCTCCGCAACGATTTAATAGTAAATGATAAATATTCTGGAAATGTAATGATCTGGTCATAAAGGGTTGCTTTGACCTTAAGAGATATACCTGACTTATCTTCAGTAGTATCCATAGGAACTTTTACATCACATGAGATGGGGTCCTCAGTTTAAAGTCTCAGCCCAAAACCGATTCTAGGACTCTTTAGTCCTAGTGGACTGCCAATCTTCCTTTCGTATGTTGAAGTTTCTGGAGAGGGATTTGAACCCACAGCTTTTCTGACTTGAGAGTGTAGGATGGTATTAGTTAGCCACAGCTGAATTGAGTTCAAACGCAGGTTGGATTTTAAGATGGCCTGATAGGAATCTGCAACTACTGCAGAGCCAAAGAATCGAGGAAGCTATTTGGTTACTTCGAAATGTTCCAGCAACAGTAGATTCAGTGTTGTGGGATTCGGTTTGATTTGATCGGGTCCGGAGCTGGTACTGACATGATAATCAAATGGCACTTCTTGTGTGATGCAAAGTTTGTTTGTTTGGAATCAGCGAACTGCAGAAACATCGGCTTGCCATTGAGCAGTCTAGGAGACTGCCTCCTGATTGTCTGACAGAGCACTGCAGCAATGTTAGACAGTAGGCGGTTTCACTGTGGATGGGGGAGACTGCTGTACTGCCCATTTCACAGGTTTAAGAATTTATGGCTGTGCCCTGGTTTGAGGAGGGGAGAGGCAGCCCAGTCTGCTGGAGAAGCTCTGGCCCAGTTATTTAACAAATAGGACAGGAGACCACTGGGCAGTGTTCCAAGTTCCTGATGGCTGTTCTCAACCTGCCACAAGCAACTATTTGACAGCGCACAGCACACAAACAAGGGAGGGATCAATCGTTTGCTTCCGTCTGAGGGATTAGGTAACTTTTGTTTCAGAATCTGCATCTGTTTCATCGCTCGACAACCAAATCAAACATAACGCACCAAGAGTGGTCTGACCCCAATACCTAATGATGAAAATCTCAGCTGAAATAACAGTCTTGCATTTAGGGTAGCTCAGATCAGTTGGCTTCTCGGTGAATGAGCAGAATTTCCTCTCTTCCCCACTACTGCAATATTTTCACTTTTAAGAAATAATACCTAGAGGAGGCTATTTAATCCTTTGAGTCTGTATTCAGTAAGATCATGTTTGATTTTTCTACCTTAGTTGCACCTATGTGTCATATCTGTTGATATCCAAAATCCATCTGGCTTTATTTCACATCTGCAGCTCTTCGGGGTAAAGAATTCCGTTGATTGATGACCCTCCGACTGTAGAAATTTCCAATCCTTTCGGCTCTGCAGAGCTGACACCCTATCCTCGGACAGTGAAGGTCTGGTTCTCGAACCTCGAGCCAGTATAATAATGTATAATACGTTCCATGTAGTGTATGATTATATAACATTATAACTTTGCGATATTTCCTCTGAATGCTGCCAGTTAGTTGCTCAATCTGAACTTCTGCTCAACAAGGAACAGTTTCCCTGCCAATACCCTCATCTCTTTGAAGTGGCACTTCACTCTCCCAAAGTCATGCAGTGGCCTGGGAAATCTGTTCTGCAGGTCAGTTGTGGCCATCCTTATTGCAAAATATGATGTCAAGGACAGAATCCATCCAGCCAACTGAATCTCTTTTTTTTCTTTGTTAAAAAAACCTGCTCCGTTTAGATCTGTACCTCGGCTGTTTCTGGGGTCCAGAAGATTATTCTTGTTTCCAAGCGCACATTTCAGTTGCCGTCTAAGAGTTCCCGTGAAACCTGATTGCATTACATGATCCTGGCATCTGTTTTGATGATTTAAATAAAAACAGTCCTAATTTCCTCTCTGTTCCTGTTCTGTGATCTCCGGAATATGGAAAAATAGCAGCATGAACAGGCCAATGAATCTGTGAAACCACACATGTGCCATTTTGTCTAGAAATGTATCAACCCCTGCCTTGAATTTCCTTGATGACTAAGCTTCCACAACCCTTTATAGTGAAGAATTCCAAATATTCACGAAATATGAACTCCTGCTCATCTCAGTCCTAAATGGCCTCTTATTTTGAGACCATGTCCACTGGTTTTAGACACCGACCTTTTGAACAATCAATTTGAAAGGGAACAGTTCCTCCTTATGTAGTCTGTATCTTTTTTAAAAAAAAACACTTGTTTTCCTTCCTTCTATTTGGTCTCATCCTTAATCTTCTGGACAGAAAATGATCTTTAGTTTTTTAACAGGTTTAAGGAGCAGACAGAGGAAAAGTTTAGGGAGGGAATTTCAAAGCTTCAGGCCTTAGCAGGTCATGATATTTCCGCCAGTGGTGGAAGGTTTGAAAGTAAAGTAAAAGCCAGAATGAATGGAGCATAGGTTTTTGAAATATTGAGGAGTTGAGAAGTAGGAAGAGCTGGCACAAAAGAAGGGGCAAATCAGTCGTGATTTTATAGAATGGCAGGGCAGATTGGAGACGCTGAATGGTCTACTCCTGCTTCATGTTCTTATCTCAATAGTATTGTGGATGTAGGTTACAGGGGCAGGGGGAAAGCAGGTCAGGGAAGGATTTAATGGCTAAGTAATTTGAGGCATTATGTAACTGGGAGCCAAAGGATTTCATGCCAAATAATCTGGGTGAAGTTCAATAGCTGTCCATCTCTCTCATGCTGCAGGTCGATCAGCTTTGTTCCCTGTTGAAGATGGCTTCCTTGACAATAGCCAGGGTGACCAATCTTTATCTTCAGGCTTGAACTCCCCAGCTCTCAGCCAGAATGGGAAATCAGGAGAACGATATTCCCGAAAGGTTTTTGTTGGCGGTTTGCCACCAGACATTGATGAAGGTGAGTTCAAGATTCTCATGCATGGAACATTTTGAGCTTGGACTTTTTTCAGTCGGGCCTGAAGGATAGCAAATGAAGTGTAAACATCTCTCTTGCTGGAGTGGCTGACAGTTGATCTTTTGAATTTCATTTGAAAGAATAGCTCACAAACCACTCTCTGTGGAAGTTGGCTGTTCCATCACGTTGGTAATGTGTGTTGGGATGCGCAGGGTCGATGTGTACAGACACCATTCCTTCAATATTATAGTATGTAGGAAGTCCAACCTCTCACACCTTAAATGATAATGTAAGGGGGGAGCATCATGGTTCCCGACTGGAACACTAATCCTGCAGCCTGGACAAATAACCCACTGTCATAAATTCAAAGGAAGGAAGGGTCTGAGGAAGGGTCACCAGACCTGAAACATTAACTCTGATTTTGTTTCTTCATGGATGCTGCCAGACCTGCTGAGCTTTTCCGGCAACTTCTGTTTTTGTTCCTGATTTATAGCATCTGCAGTTCTTTTGGTTTTTATTTGTCATACATTCAAAGTCTATCAAAGCAGTTTACGAATTTAAATTCAGCTCATAAAATAAATCTGCAATAAAATATAGCATCAATTATTTTTTCAAGTGACAGTCCCAAATGGTTCATTAATTTCCTTTGGCAGAGGAATCCTGCCCTCCTTCCTTAAACAGGCCTATATTGTGTGTATAGACTTAGAGAAACCAAATTGCCATTTGGCATGGTCTCCAAATCACTGACCGTTCACAAACCCTTGATTGCAATCCTAGACTTCCTCCCGAACAGCACAATGGGTGTACCTACACCATACAGATTGCAGTGGAGTAGCTCTGGAAGATAACCCCACCACCAACTTCTTCAGAGCTATCAGTGAAATGAGTGCTCCTTTAGTAATTAAGAGGCATGTTACGTCCTTCAAAAAGCAGAATACCTCCCTGTCATTCGCACAGTGCATGGGAAAATCCAGAATTGTTGAACGAACAAGGTGAAAACAGAGCCAATCAGCCCTTTGCTGAAGCAATCCAGAAGTATTCTGCAGGCATTGTATATTCCTCTATCCTTTTCTGCTTCAACTCATTATTCACTTCCCTCCAAAATATCATATTAGTTTGTGCTTGTGTCAACAAATGTCATGAGAAATGATCATTTTCAAATTTATAAGAGGAGTTATCTTTTCAAAAGTCAGTGTAATTTCAAAAACAAAATCTCCCATTGTCTTTCTGCTGAGCCACAACTTTCTGCTCGTAATTGGTTTCCCCACCACAGACATCACCCGACTGCCTGTATACTTCATAGCTTTGTGTAAAGGCACAGCTTGAGTTAGGGTGAATATTTGTTGATGTTTATCATGACGTTTTTAATCCCTGCTCTGCAAAACGTAAACTGTCATTGAGTCTACTCATTAGCCACATTTTACCAACACTCTTTCAGTTTTCTGACCAGCCACATCCTTCCATTTAGTGTGTACTCCCCTTCCATGTTTCCTTTCCTAAAATATATTACCTCATACTCGTCAAATTGAATTGCATCTATCCTGTATATATGCAATGCTTGCAAAAGGATTTAACTCACTGTTGAGGCATCTGATTAGTTGAAGAGACTTTGTTCAGCAAGCAGTGCAACATTACAAGCAACTGTAAAAGAGAAAGTCAATTCTCACGTCACAATTATGGGAATAACATGGTTGTTCCTAGCCTGTAATCAAAACCAATGGACAAATTTTGCATTTAGCTGCTTTTAAAACTGATTGACAGCATGACCCTTGGCTTGTCAAAGATGGAGCTCCGTGGAACGTGTAGGGGTCCCTGCTGCCCATGCACAATATGAAGGCCCTTAAATTTGAATAACCCCAGATGTAAAGTATTTAACATAAATTCATACAACTTGCAGCTATGTTTCCATTGTGGCAGAGCTTCCCACTGTTGGGAAAGCTGCTCTCTCTAGACTGGACTTTGCTGAACTAACACTTTCTTTGGTAGCTCACAGGAGGATGGAGCATGCAAGGTTACGCTTGAATGTAGATGTCTGGTTACCTTGTTAGAACCACCGACATGCAGAGACAGACAGCTTTACTGTTCATCCAAAGTTCAGAAATCCCTGGCTGTCCAGGACACGCGCTCATTGGTGCATCTGAGAGATTGGGAGAGAGAAAAGAACATTTGCTGTTCCTCTTTGTTCCTATTATTCCTCTCCCTGTGAATCTAAGTGGTTACTAAATCTTACTAAACTTAGTCTTATGCCCACACACCTGATAGTAATCCATGTTGGTAACAAGGACTTGAAAACCAGACATCATTACAGTACCTTCTCCATCACCCATCATGTAAGGGGAAGTAAATTTACCCCAAGTTCTTTAGATGAATCTTGAACAAGGCCTGAGATGTGGGGAGTATGGTATTTCATCATCCGTAGATAACCTTGGCTCATCTGTATGAAAGCGAAATGGGGAGGCAATGGGCTAGTGGCATTATCGCTGGACTATTAATCCAGAGACCCAGATAACGTTCTGGCGACCCACGTTCAAATCCTGCAAGTAAGAATCTAATGATGACCATGAACCCATTGTCGATTGTCAGAAAAACCCATCCGGTTCACCAATGTCCTTTAGGGAAGGAAACTGCCGTCCTCACCTGGTCTGGCCTGCATGTGACTCCAGACCCACAGCAATGTGGTTGACTCTAAACTGCCCTCTGGGCAATTAGCGATGGGCAATAAATACTGCCTGGTCAGCAACACCCTCATCCTGTGAATGAATAAAGAATAAAGAAGTGCTGCTGATGCTGGATGATGAAATAAAAACAGAAAGTGCTGGAGCAATCAGTAGGTCGAGTAGCATCCGTGGGGAGAGAATCAGTGTCAATGCTTTGAGTGCAGAATCACTTCTTCTGCTCCAGAGTTTGGAAGAACTGTGATTCTGGACTCAACAAGTAAACTCTGTTTCTCCCTCCACAGATGCTGCTGGTCCTGCTGAGTCTTTTCAGTACTTTTATAATTTCACTTCTTGTCTGATCCATCAATAGTTGGTCAATGTCTTCATTCACACGTTTAAGCAGCATCTGCCCCAACATGGGTCCCTCTGGGACTCCAACAGCCATCGGGACCCCATGCAGAATCACAACCGTTAAGAACAGCTTCTGGCTCGCTAGGCTGTGGTCAGATTTTTCACATTCCAAAAACCTGCCCAGAAACCCCACAGGACTTCATCTCAGTTTGCAATATTTTGGAGCACGCGGACAAAACTGTATTTTGGAAATGAAGAGATGTAATAGTCAGAATAGCACCTTCCACACAGTCCAGTCCACTGGTAAAACCTTGACTTGCCACTGCTGTTCCCTACTGATCTATGCTCTTGAGGCAGTTGGGAGCTTTGGCTTTCTTGTGAGTCACTGACGGGTTGAGTCAATCTAAATAGCGAATTGAAAATTGTCCACAGTTGACATTCTGCCCCTTTTTTACATGACTGTTTGCTAGTGTGATCTCAGGAGACCATGGGTATCATCCTGTTGCATCACGAGCTGTTGAAAACCTGAGCAAGTGGCTTGCGGAATGGAGGTCCCATTTCCAAGGGCACCTTTGGGTGAATGCTGTCTGCGGTAGCGGACTGTACTGTGCATGACTAAAATTAAACTTGTACATCCTTAGAGGCATTACCAGGAAGCCCACGCGAGATGCACATCGATGTCTGATGATTCCTTTCTGATATAATTGAGGCAGAGGAATGGGGAGGCATCTAGCCCAATATTTGGCACTGTCCCTGTTCATACCCTTTCTTACCCAACTTGGGTCAATCTGAGATTTTAAAATTAACTATTGACCTGTCATCAATTGCCATATGGCGGAACAGTTCCAAATTTCATCAGCTGTTAGGTGTCTTAGTTGTAATCCTGTGTGTTCATTTGAGGAATGGAAATGAGAGGTAAATGTATCTGATTGTCTCCACTTTTATTTGTGTTTAGATGAGATAATCGCTACTTTCTGCTGTTTTGGACAGCTCATGGTAGACTGGCCTCACAAGTCGGGAAGTAAATCCTACTTTCCACCCAAAGGTGAGCAGTTCTATTCAACTGAATTGGTGTTATCATGATCAGTGAACTGTCCTTTCACAGAACTTGGGTGTACCACAATACCAAATTGGTGAACAGTGCCTCATGCAGAACTTAGACCTGAAGGCTAGAAAAGGCATCGATTGGCTCCTTTTCTGGCTACTGCTGAATTGGTTGGATGTAGATAAGGTGAATAGCCAAGGTTGTTATTCCCTAGGGTGGGTGTGGGTGGGATAAAGGGACCTGAGGGGCAACTTCTTCATACAGAGGGAGGAATGGAACGAATTGCCAGAGGAAGTGGTAGATGCCAGGTACAGTTACGGCATTTAAAAGACATTTGGATGTGTACATGAATAGGCAGGGTTTAGAGGGATATGGGCCAAACGAAGGCAAGTGGGACTAGATTAGTTTTGGAAACTTAGTCGTCACGGACAAGTTGGACTGAAGGGTCTGTTTCCGGCCGAATGACTCAACAGTTCATCTGTGTCGGGGCGTTGCACTGGCCTGAGCACCTTGGATGAGATTGCGCAGAAGTCAGCTTAGGTTCGCGCCTGCTCCTGTCTGTGTCTTCATAGGAGTCAGAGTGGGTCTGAGGTCTGCTGTGCAGTTGAGTTAGACCATGGCTGATTGGCACCTCAACACTGTTTACTTGACTGAATTGCACTTCCCTTGATCCCTTTACCCAAAAAATGTCTGACCTATGTCTCTCTTGAAAATTTCAATTGATCCACAAGTCATTGCAGCATTTTGGGGCAAGGAATTCCAGACTTTCGTGACCCTTTGTAAAGAAGAAAATGCCTTACAGTTTGACTATGAAATGGTCAGGCTATTATTCTAAAATTATGTCTCTGGTTCTGAATTCTGCACAAAAGATAGTAATTTCTGTCTGAACTGTTGAGTCTCTGGCATCTTAAAACATCTTTATTTCTCCTTTCTTATCCATCTAATTTTAGACGGGCTGTCATTGTCAATGGCTTCCGTTCCAACTTTTATTTCTGGTGTTCCCCGAGGATCTATCCTTGTCTGTTAACCTACATGTTCCTCTGTCGTGAAATCCCACGCCAGGTCCCACATGTACTTCACCTGCCACTTGTCTTGATTTCTTCCTCGACTTGGATTTATCATGCTGCTTGTCGACCATCTTGTCCTGAATGAATGGACGTTTCCTCCAACTCAATATTACGAAAACTGTAGGCACTTCCCTTGGTCTCAAGCACGAGTCCTGTCCACTACCAGTGGTCTACCAGACTCGTCACAGAATCATACAGTACTGAAGAGGCCCTTCGGCCCATGAAGTCTATACCACCAAATCTGCACTAAGTCTACACAGATGCCACTTTCCAGCACCAGGCCCATACCCTTGGATGTTACGACGCTTGAAGTTTTCGTCCAAGTGCTTTTCAAGGGTTGCAAGTTTAGCCATTTCAACTATCCACCCAGGCAGTGCATTCCAGACTCCCACCACCGTCTGGGTGAAAAATCTTTTCCTCAGATCCCCTCTACACCTTCTGCCTTTCACTTAAAACTATGTCCCCTTGTTCGTGACCCTTTCACTAAGGGGAACAGCTGGTTTCTATCCATCCTATCCATGCCCCCTCAATCTGCTAGACCTCTATCAGGTCCTCCCTCAACCTTCTCTGCTGATAAGAAAAGCACTCGAGCTTATCCAGTCTCTCTTCACAGCTAAAATGCTCCAAGCCAGGCAACATCCTGGTGAATCTCCTCTGCATCCCCTCCAGTGCCAACACATCCTTTCTATAGTGTGGTGACTAGAGCTGTACACAGTGCTCCAGCTGTGGCCTCACCAATGTTCTGTCCAGCTCCAACATAGTCTCCCAGCTACTATAATCAATGCCACAACAGATAAACGCAAGTGTCCTGCAAGTGGCGTTCTTAACTGCCTTATTAACCTATCCCACCACCTTGAGGACACACCTCAAGATCCTTCTGTTCCTCTGAGCTTCCTAGTGTCCTGCCATTCTTGGAGTACTCCTATTTTTACCCTGAGAAGAGTTTATGACATATGCATGAATCACTATGTTCCAGCTTGGTAACATCACCTGACTTCCTCACCTCAACTCCTGTTGCCGAAACTCTCATCCATGCATTTGTTACCTCCTGACTTTCTATTCCAGTAAATATCCTGTCCGGGTTCAACACTCCACATCAGGTGAGGCTTATCCAAAACACTGCCCATTTCTAATCTTGAGGTACGTCTCTTTCCGCTGTCACACATGCGCTCGCTCACTGCATTGCCTCCTGTTCAAGTAATTCCTTGCTTTTTTTTTAACTGTCTTGTTTGTTTTCAAATCCCCCCATGAGTTCACTCCTCTGTATTTCAGTTAATGTCTCCAGCACTTGAAACCTGAGAGATCTCTGTGCTCCCAAGTTCCTCAGCATTTGAAATTTATTCGCTGCTCCATTAATGGCCATGGCTTCAGCCAAACAGCTTCTGAGCTCTCAGGTTCCCATTGCAAAACCTCTCCATGTCTCTTCTGTGCTTTTAAGAGTCTCCTTAAAATCTATTTCTTCAAGCAAGCTTTTGGTCGTCTGGCGAAATATCTCCTGTTACTCAGGATAAGATTTTGTTATGAATAGCTTCAGTGACGTGACTCTCAATGTTTTTGAATGTGAAAGGCTCTGTGTATAAATAGAACTTACTCATGCTGAAATCCTCACCTCTTTTTATTTGTTACAAAGGAAGGTGGTGTCTCAGTGGAAATGTCATTGGGCTAGTAATCAGAAAGGAAGTTAATGTTTTGGGAATGTGGGTTGGAATTCTGGTCTCCCTGCTGTAGGAAGGATCTTGTGAAACTTGAAAGGAATCAGAAAAGATTTACAAGAATGTTGCTAGGGTTTGAGCTACAGGGAGAGGCTTAATTAGGTGGAGCATTGGAGGCTGAGGGGTGACCTTATAGAAGGGGCATGGATAGGGTGAATAGTCAAGGTCTTTTCCTCAGGTTGGGGGAGTCCAAAATTAGAGGGCACAGGTTTAAGGTGAGAGGGTAAAGATTTGAAAGGGACCTAAGGGGCAATTTTTTTCATGCAGAGGGTGATGTGTGTATGGAATGAGCTGCCAGAGGAGGTGGTGAAGGCTGGTACAGTTACAACGTTTGAAAGGCATCTGGATGGGAATGGGAATAGGAATAGGAAGGGTTTAGAGGGTATAGGCCAAATTCTGGCAAATGGGACTAGATTATTTTAGGATATCTAGGCAGCATGGACAAATTGGACGGAAGGGTCTGTTTCAGTGCTGTATATCTCAATGACTCTGACGTAGTGAAATTTGAATTCACTAAAAATCTAGCCCAATGGTGAACATAAACACTGTTGATTTATGTAAAAACCCATCTGGTTAACTAATGTCCTTTCGGCAAAGAAATCTGCTATCCTTACCTGGTCTGGCCCACTTGTGACTCTGGGTCCATAGCAATGTGGTTCACTCTTATCTACCGTCTGGGCAATTAATACCCACATCCCATGACCAAATTTTTAAAGAACTTATTGGCTTGACCATTGCAATGCTTTCCTGGCCAAGCTTCCTGCAGTCCACCTTCCATCAATGTGAGGTCATCCAAAACTCTACTGCCTGTGCCCTAGCAGTCATGGGAATCCAGGTATCTTTGCCAATATCTTTCTTTTCTGTGTGTTGTAGAAAGAGAATACTGCAGGGTTAGGGGCTGGCGGTCAGTCGTCGTAATTTTTTTTTTAAAAGAATTGACGTGTTTGAAGTCCCTACAGGTGTGAGTCAGGACAGACTTTTATTTGCTATTGACTGTGTCTCTTGTTTTGCAGGTTATGCCTTCTTATTGTTTCAGGAGGAGTGTTCAGTTCAGGTTCTGATTGATGCCTGCTTTCAGGATGACGGTAAACTCTATTTGTGCGTCTCTAGCCGCACAGTCAAGGACAAGCCGGTGAGCATGACAGTTGCTAATTCTTTGTCATGTGCCCTGTGCCTCTGGAGTTCTGAGCTCTGGAAGCTGCTCCAATTATAACGCCTTTATAGAAATGAATTCCATCTTCCACAAGCTGAGATGTTACTGCTGGGGATTAGGATAGTTTACATTTCAGACACTCTGTACCAACTTCCAGTTCAAGTATGGCACATTTTCAATGTATTGTGAAGGCCCTTCTGCACTGCCCCATCCTGGTAGAGAAGGTTGATTGGGTTTTTTTATCAGTGACAGATGTTCCCTCTTAATTACATCCGTCATCATGTAAGATTGTTGAAGGAGGTACATCTTGCTGCTTCAGGCTGAAGTCCACTCCGTGCCAGGTTAACAACGTGATTCATGTTGGTGGGAACTGTAAAGGTTACAGATGTTTTCTTCAGGTTGCATTGAATCCTCGAGCACAGGACAGACTCTCATCTTTGTTTAACCTGAATTTTAAGGAGGCAAAGTATGGAAATAAGGAGTGTCCTATTTGAGCAAGAGGTGAGGTGGAATCTCTTTCTTGGAGGGTGGTTAGTCTTTGGAATTCTCTTTCCTAGACAGCAGTGGAGGCTTGATCATTGAATATGTTCAAGGCAGAGTCAGACAGATTTTTAGTTGACACAGGAGTTGTGGGGTTATGGGGGACTCACAGCAAAGTGAAGGCCACCACCAGATCAGTTATGATCTTCTTGAAAGCCAGAACAGCACTGAGGGGCAAAACAACCTCTCCCTGCTCCAACTTCATACGATGATCTTCTGAAAGGTCAGTTGTTTTCTGGATATCTGACATCGCACTTACTGCAATTCCTTAGGCTATCTGGGCGCATGAACTTGTGTGACTTAGAAACCTCCTCCTCTCCGTCGGGTAGCCTCTATGTTTCCATTTGTATTTTGAGTGAGTAATCTTTGTGCGTGTGAGGAATGCCGGTTGTCACTTTGTTTCTCGTGTTACTATTCGGTTACATTCTGTGTAGCTGTGTTTGGGCCCTCGGTAACATGCAGTCCTGTCAAGTCGGTCGCATTCATTGGCTGAGGGGATGGAATTGGTTACAATCTGAGACAGAAGTTGCTTAGCAACGTGAAAGTGGACCCGTGTTCGAGTGGGGTTAGAGAAAGTGCTTACCGGTTGAGATGGGAGCCTGGGTTTGTTCCATCCCTCGGATAGTAAGCAGGGAGTGAGCTGCGGCCCTTCGTTGGGGAATGGAGATTGTGGTGGAACCCAGGGTTGGTGTTGGGTCCGTTGCTCCTTAATTGCAACATTGATCGAGATGAAGAAATTAGGGCAATTTCACTTACTTTTTCTCCCCCTTGTAACAAAAAAAAAATGCCTTGCAATCGTACACCTTTTAGGTCCACAGGGCAGTCCAGCACATTGCATGGCCAATGAAGTCCTTTTGAAGAGAGAGATAATAGGAACTGCCGATGCTGGAGAATCTGAGATAACAAGGTGTAGAGCTGGATGAGCACTGCAGGCCAGGCAGCATCAGAGGAGCAGGACAGCTGACGTTTCAGGTCTGAACCCTTTTTTCTGAACAAGGGTCCAGACCCAAAAGAGACCTGAAGAGTTATTTTTGTTGCAAAGGTGGCAACGCAGCTGCCAGTATGCGCACAGCAAGCTCCCACAAAGAGCAGTGAAATATTCGCTAGCTCCCTGCTATTCTTCAAAATATTCATACGCAGTTCAGAAGGTAGATGGGCCTTGGTTTGATGTCTTATCTGGAAGACACCATTTCTGAAAGTGCAGTAATCCCTCGGTATTGCAAAGCAGTGTCAGCACAGACTTCTGTGCTGATTAGGCCTTGAGTTGATCTTGAAGCCAAGAGTGCCCCCAGCCAAAACACAGCTGGTGCCCAAATATGAAGATATCAATACTCGTGACGTTGACCAGAAGTTTCTCCTAACTAAATGGTGGGTAGTCTGAAGCCACAGATTTGGGTTCCCATCAAAAAATAAAACCCTATTCCCCAGCCAGGCACTCCATCCTGACTGCAGCTGAACCAGACCATTCAGAATCTGGTGTCCTTTTTGACTTGGCTTGGGTTTTTCACACCTGAAACCATGCTGACGTCCACCTCGAACATTGTCTCTGCCCTTGACCTGGCTCGTTTGCTGTTGAAAAGCCCTCATCTATGTTTTTGTTGGCTCCATGGTTGACTGCTCTAAAGCTTAATGGGCCCACTTGGCACCTTGGACGCTTCATATTTGTCAAAAATTTCAAGAACCTTAACTTGTGCCAAGTTAGTTTCACCCATCGTTGAATTCTGATACCATCACTGCGTGAGTTTTAACTTCTCTTCCTTGTTCTCAAATTCTTCTGTGATCATCCCTCTATCATCTCCTCCAAGCCTTCCTGAGATTGCAGGGCTCCTCTAAATCTGGCTTTTCCTTCTGTCTCTGGTTTTCATTGCCCTACCACAGATGGCTGTGCCATCTGGTGCCTGGACCCCAAATTCAGGAATTCCTTCCCCAAGCAGCTGACATCTCTGTGTCTGTCTGAACCTATTAACTGCTTATTTGAAGGTAAGTTCTGACCTAGTTTTTGGTCACGTGTCCTCTTCATATGGCTGAGTGTCAAGTTCATCTTGGCAGCTGTTCCTTTGAAACACCCTGGGACGATCTTCTGTGTTCAAGGTTTATGTAAACACAAGTTGTTGAGAAAAATAGATTGGAGGACGAGCTGGATGTGGTGTCGGAAAATGGATTTGCGATCAGGCAGCTGTCCCTTAATGGATAAATCATCTTTTGCCTTAAGATTGGGGGCAACAATGTCAATTATGTGGGCACTCAGGAGCAGAAGACAGATTTGGATGTTATGGAAGGTGAAACTCTTGAGTGCCCACAGGCTTATTATGAAGCAAGAAATAATTCAAAACTGTATTGTCAGGAGCCTGCAGTGTTCAGCTATTCTCCACTGTCTCTTTTCAAGTGTGTACTGGGAATAGCCACACCTTCGACAAACTCCAGTAAGCACAATTTTTCCTCATCTTACACAATGAACATTGAAAGTGACTGGAAAGAAGCCAGACCCAAGAGAGGGCATTTAAAACAGCCCTGTGCTGATTGATTTACAGACATCCTTTCCATGCCTCTGCACCTCAACCTCCTGTCCGTCCACTTTCTACCCTACCCTTGTTCCCCATTCCCTCCCACTCCTTTCACTCCTACCCTTGTGTGCAGGGATCATTTGTAGCATTCCCTGCCTCCACTGGAGCGGTAAATAGATTTTAATTGCTGTGCTGAAAGGGAAAGGTTCATATACTGTTGGCTGAGCAGTGTCTGCTTGCACTGTGGACCTGTTGTAGTTAATGGAGAACAGTGCACACAGGAATCAAACTCTGAATCTGCATTTTCTGTTAGTCTAGTCTGCACATTAGTGGTGGTTCATCGGATTTGCTTTCCTTCTGGCTTCAGGTGCAGATCAGACCCTGGAGTCTGAGTGACAGCGACTTTGTGCTGGATGGCTCACAGCCTCTAGATCCCAGGAAGACCGTCTTTGTGGGAGGGGTACCAAGACCCCTGAAAGCTGGTAAGTTACTGCACGCTATTGAGTTAAGCAGGGTGATTGACAGAGTGTGCGCGACAAGTCCCGGTTAACTCGGAGGGTTGGGGGAAAACAATTCCATTGGGCTTTTGCTGAGGAACTGGTCAGGTGCAGTGAGAGGTTTCAAGTCTTGATGCTTGTGTAAGAAGTGGAAAAGATAGGAGTGTGGGACACGTTGCAAACAGGTGAACAGGGTTTGATAAACAAAGCGAGTTCAAATCTGACACCAAATCCAGTTTTGCTGCTTAAATGTGTAACTATGTCAGACCACAATTTTGACACACTTAGTGTCTCAAAGAAGTGTTGCAAAGCAATAAATGCGGCTGTGTTCTTTTTATTTCCTGATCTGGGCACAGCATCAATACTTATATTCTTGTCTCTCTAAGCAGTTGGTGAAGGGAGGCTGCATATTTTTCTAGGTCCCTAGTTACACACACTCCCAAATCGCTCATTATGACTGACAAGTATGTTATGACCCACCCTCAACAGGGCCTAGTGTTACTGTCACTAGACAGTTAATCCAGAGACCCAAGTAAAGTTCCAGGTACCCAGGTTCGAATCCTGCCACAGCATTTGGTGAATTTGAGCTCACTTAAAAATCTGGGATGAAGAGTCTAATAATGACCATGAATCCATGGTCGATTGTTGGAAAAACCCGCCTGCTTCACTAACGTCCTTTAGGGAAGAAAGGTGCTATCCTTACCTGGTCTGGCCTACATGTGATTCCAGACCTCTGGGCAATTAGGGTTGGCAGTAAATGCTGGGCTAGCCAGTGATGCCCTCATCCCATGAATGAATAAAAGAATACTTGGTAAAATGCACTGAGTCTTGAATCCTGGTGCTTCCAGGGTCTTGACAAAAGTTAATGATGTAATCACAGCAGACAAAGTTTACCTTTTTTGTTGGAATTAATTTAACAAAGAGAGATCAGGTTCCTGCACAAAACAAGAACGAGTGTTTATTACCAATCGGTAATAGGCAATAGCAATAAGACAACAGCTGTGAACTACTCGTGCATGGCTCACGAAGTTAAGATTGTAACTTCCTTTTTAAAATTCCAAATACACACATGGACACAGACAAATGAAAGAAAACAATGATTTTATGGTTGGAGGCTCTGTTGAGGTGTTTGTTTTGCTTTTGAGGACTTTATGTTCTTAAGTCTCTTTTGTCCGAGTTCGTTCACTTCTTTGCAGGAGGTACTACATTTGTACACTAACTACAACGTCTCTTAGTTACCTGTTAAAGACAAGAGCTTAAAGCAACTAGTGGGAGAAAATATGCGGTGGTAGGGCGGGGTTGAGAAAGGAGGTGGTGGTGATAGAAAAGGAGAGAGTTAAACCACCTGTCCTTCCCGCAGTCGAAAGGCTTCTCAGTAATTGTTCACACCCACATGCTATTCAGCTTTTCAACAATCAATCAGAATTGTTGCCAGCCTGATGACTTTTGGCATCTGTGACTGGTCCCAAATCAATCTGCTACTTGTTGCTGGCCAAATTTCACTGTGCATACACATCAGCCATGTGCTGTGTAATTGACAAATGCCCCTCCTGCAACTGCTTGAACAAAACAGCAATGTAAATATCACATTGAGTTTTGAAAAGTGCAGCAATCCCCACTGTTTTTTCTCCCCAGTGTGGTCCACCATCTAAAATACAGGAAATGAAATGATGGGGTCTTTACAATGTTATACATATCAACCGTAAATAGTGTAGTTCCTGTGAAGCACTGTGTATCAGCTTATTAACTGCTAAGTCTGTAGCTAACATGTCTTGAACCTAATTCTGTTTCCTATTTCAAGACCACCTTGGCTATTGCATTTTATAATGGCATTGACACAGTCAACAAGTATAAAACCGAGTACCCTGTAACTCTAGTCGGAGACGATATGTGCCATCAGCAAAATTGCACACTGATTTGTTGGGGGGGTTCATTTTTTAAGGTTATGGGATTAAAAACCAGCAAAGGTGTATCAAACTTGTGTAGAATCTTTGTTCGAAAACACCTGAAGTACTATGCGCAGCATGTCCATATTCTAAGAAGGTGTTAGACAAGGTGCCAAAAAAAGTGACGATAATGAAGATAGAATCGCGAGGTTATCGATATCAGGAAGGATTGAACAAATTCCTTTCGCCAGAAAGGAGAAGCCTGAGGGGCGACCTGATAAAAGTCTTGAAGATTTTAAAATGGTTTGTTCAAGTAGTCATAGCGAAGGCATTTCCAGTTGTAACAGAAACCAAAACCAAGAGCCACAAATATGGTAGTTAGGAGTAAATCTAATTGGGAAACATCTTTATCCAGAGTGTAGTGTTATGGAAGGGATATTATTAAATATATGATTAAGCTGGAGAGGGTTCAGAAGAGATTTACCAGGATGTAGCCAGGAATGGAGGGTTTGATTTATAAGGCGAGGCTGGATAGGCTGGGACTTTTTCCACTGGAGTGTAAGAGGTTGAGAGGTGATCTTAGAGAGGTTGAGTAAATTATGAAGGATATAGATAAGGCCAGTGGCAGGTGTCTTTTCCCTAGGTTGTTGGGTTTCAAGACTAGAGGGCATATTTCTAAGGTGAGAGGACAAAGATTCAAAAAGGACATGGGGGCAATTTGTTTACACAGTGGTTCATGTGTGGAATGATCTTCCAGAGGAAGTAGTGGATGCGGGTACAGTTACAACATTTAAAAGACATTTAGATAAGCAGACGCAAAGAAATATTTGGAGGGATATGGGCCAACCACGGGCAGGTAGAGACTAGTTTAGTTTGAGATCATGGTCGGCGTGGACTGGTTGGACTGAAGGGTCTGTTTCTGCGCTGTTATGACTATATGAGAATGTGAAACTCCGTGCTACATGAAATATGGCTGAGGTGAACACTACAGCTGCATCTAAAGGAAAGCCAGAAAAGGCTTGGTGGAGAAAGGAATCCAAGAATGTCTCGACTAGTTTTGATAGTCAATGATGGGAGGAGGTTTGTGTGGACCACGAACAATACCAGTTGGGCCCAGTGGCCTGGTTCTGAGATGTACATGCCGTCTAACCATTGAAACCCTAAAACAACCTGGAAAATGAATAGCTTTAATCTGTTCACATTTGTTCAGCACAATATACATCCAGCAATCAAAAGTAAGTACAAATCTTAATTATGACATCAGATCAAATCCTCATGCTCCGTATTTATGTCTCCCGAAATAGTGTCTTCCAATAGCTTTCATATCTAAAGCTTGGAGAAGCGTCTTGACACACTCTAATTCTTCCCTGTCTTGGTCTTTCAACTGGAAGTTCATAGTCACTGAACAAAGTCATCCCATCTCAAACCCCGCCTCTTGATTAAATCCTGCAAATGGTGCAGGGAAGATGCTGTCCTTGTGAAAATGAAAGAAGGACGAAGTGCGGCCAAGTATTGATGATGTGCAAATTACAGGCGACGATGTTGCAATAATCTTGCTGTTGGTCCTTGTGATGGGAGGGTCACCGGCATGGGGGTTGGAGGGAGAGGGGGGCAAGACGGGTACTGAATCAGGAAGCTTGAGTTGTTGCCATCCCTGATGTGTGTCAAGAATTCCCACCCTCAACAATCCCTTACACCTGATCACATGGAGGGAAGTCAATAACTGGACTGTCTGAGCCTTCCCTTGCACTCAGTTTTTGAGCAGCGGTCATAACTTTGAGCCAGAAGCTCCTGTGTTCGAGACCTATTGCAGGATGTGTTGGCAACAGAAGGAATGGTCGTGACATGGCTCAAACGTAGAGATAATGAATTTGCTAATCCTTCAAACTGTTCCCCAAATGGGGGAATATTGTGTATGACAACAGGTAACAAATTTGATGTGAACGCTGTGAAGTCTTTTTCCATGTTGTCTGCAAAGCAAGTTTCATTTTGTGTGCTTTAAATTTTTTATCCTGGGCCATGGGGTATTGGTTTGAGGGTTTTGGTCAGGAATGCGGGAGATGTTGCAGGTTTTGCCAAACCAGCCCCGTAACTCTGTGAGTTTGCTGTTGCAGTGGAGCTGGCCATGATCATGGACCAGCTGTACGGAGGAGTTTGCTATGCTGGCATAGACACTGATCCTGAGCTGAAATACCCAAAAGGAGCAGGCAGAGTGGCATTTGCCAATCAACAGAGCTACATTGCAGCAATCAGTGCTCGCTTCCTCCAGCTACAACATCGGGACATCGACAAACGGGTAAGACCTATTTGTACAACCAGTTTGGGCATTGTTTAGAATAGAGAAAGCAAATGAGGAATTTCAGATGTAGGCATTCAAAAAGGAAGAAGCTTGCCTTTGCATAACACCTTTTCAGAATGTCTCAATAAAGTTCTCCTGGAGTGTGTTCCATGTCGTAACGTAGGAATTGGAGCAACCAATCTGTGCACAGCAAGCTGCCACAAATAGCCATGTTATTGTAACTGGTCAACCCTCATTTTTCTCCTTTTGTTTGTCGAGAATTAAGTGTTGACCCAGGACACATAGAGTCAAAAGAATTTTACAGTGCAGGAGGAGGCTCGTTTCACTTATTGTGTTTGTACCGGTTCTGGAAAGAGCTACCCAGCTTGTCTCATTATCCAACCCTATCTCCTTAGCCCTCTAAATTCATCACTTTCAACAATATGTCCAGCTGTCTTCACAAACCTCTGATAGAATCTGCCTCCACCACACTCCCAGGCAGTGCATTCCAAATCCAAACAACTCTGAGTAAGGATGTTTCTCCTCATCTTGCTCCATCTCTCTTTGTGACAGTCTTGAAATTGTGACCTCTAGTTAATGACATACCACCTTGTACAAACAGAATATCCTTCTTTACCCTGTTCATAATTTTGCATGCCTCGATAAGGTCACCTCTTAATCTTCTCTGCTCCAAAGGAATAAGCCCAATTTCTCTCATCTTTCTATGTATCTAAAATCCTTCATTCCTGGCATCATTCTAGTCAATTCCATTTGTAATCTCACTAGGGCTTTGACACCCTTCCTTTAAATGAAGTGTCCAGAACTGAACATAATCCTCCAAGTGTGGTCTGATCAATGATTTGTGGAAGTGCAGCATCACTTCCTTGTTGTTATACTCTATGCCTCAATTTACAAACCCAAGGATCATTTTAACGTTCTTAACAACTGTTTCAATGTGCCTGGCCACTTTCCGAGCATTATGGACTTGAACCCTGAGGTCCCTCTGATTTCCTCAAAGTGGTACCATTGAGACTCTATTATCTCTCTGTGTTTCTTCTATCAAAATGCACAACTTCACATTTCTCTACATAGAAATTAATATGCCAGGTGTCTTCCCATTTGGTCAACTTGTCAGTGTCCCTCTGAAGTTGCTCGCTGTCATCCTCATAATTGACTACTCTCCCAGGGTTAGTGTCATCTGCAAATTTAAGACATGATATATTGCCTTCAACACCAATTTCAAAATTGCTTATATAAAGCAGAAAAAGTCACGGGCCCAAAACCGATCTCTGGTGAACACCACTTTAGACCCATCCCCAGTCTGAGACCTGTCCATGTGTACCTACCCGTTGTTTCTTATTGTTGAGTCAACTTCTCATCCATGCTGCCAAGGACCCATCAATCCTGAACATGTCTAGTTTCTTAAACTGCCATGTAGCACCCTATCAAATGCTTTCTGAAAGACCAAATATACAATATCTACAGCAGTACCCCGTGTCCACTGCTTGCGTCACATCTGCAAAGAACTTAATTAAATCTGTGAGACATGACCTGCCCTTGACAAAGCCATGTTGACTATCTAGTATTAACTGATTTTTTTTCTAATTATATATCTCATGTCGTGGCCTCCATCAGTTTGCCTACAGTTGATGTAAGCTGATCGGTCTCTAGTTATCCTTTGTCCCTTTCTTTAAACAATGGCGTCACATTTGTAATCCTCCAGCCTCCGGGACTAATCCTGTGTTCAGAGACGCCTGGAAAATTTCTGTCAACGGCTCCTTCACTTGCTACCTTGCCTCTCTGGGCAATTCCTGTACGAGCCTGGTGACCTCTCTACCTGGAGGGCTGCCAGCTTTTTAGCACCTTTTATTTATCTGTCACTATATGGCTCAGTCGCTCACCGCCCACATTTTCAACTGGGTCATTGTCACTGTTGGGTTCTGTCTGGACCAAATTAGAAATGTACTAATTTAGCACCTCTGCCATAGCCTTTGCTTCACTGAGCAACTTATCCTGCTTGTTCCTTATGGGCCCCATTCTATCCCTCAGTAATATTTTGCTATTAATATGTTTGAAGAACATTTCACAATTTGTTTTAGCGTCGACTACTGTCCTTTCCTCAGAGTCAGAGAGCATTGAAACATTGAAACAACCAATTGATGCTGAACATAATTCCAAACTGAACTCGTCCCACCTGCCTCCTCCTGGCCTATATCCCTTCAAACCTTTCCTATTCATGTACTTATCCACATGTCTTTTAAATGTTGTTGACTGTGCCCGCATCCACCACTTCCTCCGGAAGTTCGTTCCACACCCGAAACACCGTCTGTGTAATAAAATTTGCCCCTCACGTCTTTTTTTTAAATCTCTCTCCCCTCGCCTTATAAATATGCCCTGTAGTATTGAAATCCCCTATCCTAGGGGAAAGACACCTACCAGTAATGCTATCTATACCCCTCATGATTTTATAAACCCCTTCAAGGTCACCTCTCAACCTCCTAGGCTACAATGAAAAAAATCCCACCTATCCAGCCTTTCTTTATAACTCAAACCTTCTATACCCAGCAACGTCCTGGTAAATCTCTTCTGAATCCTCTCTAGCTTAATAATATCCTTCCTTTTACTCAGTGACCAGAACTGGACACAGTACTCCAGAAGGGGCCTCACCAACGTCCTGTAAAACCTCAACATGACTTCCCAACTCCTATACGCATCTTAGCCTTCCTTATTTTAGCCTTCGCTTCTGGCCTGGATTTGAGATACTCTTCCTGATTTCTATTGTTGTTGTCTATTCATCTCTCTTTTAGAAGTCTCCTATTTTCCATCCACTGTTTTATCCACCAGAAGGCATTTTCAATCAACCTGCTGCAATTCAACCTTTAGACTGCTAAAATCTGCCCTCTTCTAATCTGGGATCTGAATCCTTGACTGATTTTTATCCTTTACTGACTTAATATTGATCCGAATTGAATGGAATCCCTCTATTACTGTTTGAAATACTAGATCAATTATGTCCATAGGAGGATAGATCGGAACTCAATTGAATGGCATATAGGCTGACAGAGAAAATAATGGGGAAAGAGGGGCTGGGGGAACAGTTTCCACTTTTGCGGTGGAAAAATCCAGATGGGGTGATGAGGACTTTTCTCTTCAAGCTAATCATAAATTCGTAGCTTCCCTGCAGTGTGGAATCAGGCCATTCAGGCCATCAAGTCCATACTGACCCTCTGAACAGCATCCCATCCAGATCCATTCCCTTACCCTATCCCTGTAACCCCACATTTCCCATGGCTAACCCACCTAGCCTGCACATCCCTAGGCACTATGGGCAATTTAGTATGGCCAATCCACCTAATCCGCATATCTGTGGACTGTGGGAGGAAACCGGAGTACCCGGAGGAAACCCATGCAGACACGGGGAGAATGTGCAGACTCCACGCAGACAGTCGCTCGAGGTTGGAATTGAACCTGGGCCCCTGATGCTGAGGCAGCAGTGCTAACCACTGAGCTACCTTGCTGCAAAGTCTACAGCAGAGGTACTAAATTAGTCTATTTTTAATTTGGTCAAGGCCGAAGCCAATGGTGACAATGATCCAGTTGAAAATGTGGGTAGTGAGCAACTGAGCAGTATAGATAGTGACAGATCAAGATAAGGTGCAAAAGTAGCAGGGTGAGATTCACATTTTTTCTGAGACAACAGTGGCAAGCTTTATTGAAAACAGATGGTAAGATTGGATATCCTATCTGGAGCCTGACAAACCCACACACCATTTGCATGTGATCTGAACCAACTGTGACGTAGCTGCTTTGACGCAGGCTCAGTAGCTTGACTCTGCATTTTATAATTCCCTTTGCTCTGGCTGAGTGCATGACACAAGCGAGTTGAAATTACATTGTTCAAAAGTGGATAGGATTTAAACTTCAAGTAGGTAGAAGTGGCAGGGTTGTGAGCTGAGACTGTGTGACTGAGATTAACTGAATGTCTCTGCCAAAGAGCTGGCACAGACATGATGGGTTGAATGGCCTCCTTCAGCCCTGCTGGTTTCTCAGATAGTTCCCAGATCGGTCAATTTGCAAAACAAACGATTGTTTTATTTTGGTGGGTGAGATAGAAGTGTTGGTCAAGTTGCAGCTGTTGTTAAAACTCCCGAATCACATCACAGCTTAAGAATCTATCCGTATGGTGACCTGCTTCCACACAATAATTTTTCTCTTGCCCTCCACTCTCCATCAGCCTGGTTCTGTGACCAATTCCTTAGTCTTCAAAGCCAAAAGGATTGAGATTTCCAGGGCAGGTCCAGAATCTTAGCATCCTGTGCAGGCTGCCATGTGAGGGCAGTAGAGAGCACAGGCTAATCTTCCATGGTTGAATCAGAGATAGTAGGAACTGCAGATGCTGGAGAATCCGAGACAACAAGGTGCAGGGCTGGATGAACACAGCAGGCCAAGCAGCATCATAGGAGCAGAGAGGCTGACGTTTCGGGCCTAGACCCTTCATCAGAAAAGGGGGAGGGGAAGGGGGTTTTGAAATAAATAGGGAGAGAGTGGGAGGCGGATAGAAGAGGGATAGAGGAGAGGATAGGTGGAGAGGAAACAAACAGGTCGAAGAGGCGGGGATGGAGCCAGTAAAGGTGAGTGTAGGTAGGGAGTTAGGGAGGGGATAGGTCAGTCCAGGGAGGACGGACAGGTCAAGGGGGCGGGATGAGGTTGGTCGGTAGGAGATGGGGGTGTGGCTTGAGGTGGGACGAGGGGATAGGTGGGAGGAAGAACAGGTTAGGGAGGCAGGGACGAGCTGGACTGGTTTTGGGATGCGGTAGGGGGAGGGGAGATTTTGAAACTTGTGAAATCCACATTGATACCATTGGGCTGCAGGGTTCCCAAGCGGAATATGAGTGACTTGTACTTCTATCAAGATGCTGATCCACAGGTTATGGTGTTTGGTAAAGACAGTGTGTATGGATTTGAAAAAATGGGAGGTGTGAATCCCTCGGGCTCCATTTTTAAGAAGAAAATAGGTCAAAATCAGGCAATTTTTCCCTTGATGGTGGGTTGCAACTGTGATCGTAATGGTTGCTGTTTGCCTGCACTTCACTGGAGCTCTATATTGAAGGACCCTGAAATTTTGAGAGTCTAGATAAGGAGTTACGTATGTGAAAGAAATGTCATTTAGAATGAGCACAAGCGTTTGGCAGCTCTCAGTTCTTTGTTGGTACAGGCTGCCCTCTGGTGGGTACCTTTTTAGTGAAGCCTCTGATTAGGTCCTTGTGTCTTGAGGAATTAATTTTTGACTAGCTGCAGGAACCGGGGCAGCCCCAGTTTGTGTAGGAGGACAGTCATGTGTTGAAATCAGAAGGAAAACACCGGAAAGGAAACTGATTTGCGGCCAGAAGTATTTCGGCAGCAAAAACTTACGATTTTTATGCACAGCAATGTCTGTTGACCATGTCCACTTCCATCTGGTTGAGTAATTTGTGTGGCAGAATATTTGATGTTCTGGTCATGGCCAGCTGTACTCTTGCTCATTTTGTGGAGAGTCTGGCATTCACTGTGATTTCTCCTCTTCACTGGTTTGAGTGGAGCAATCCGGCAAAGTGTCCATTGAGTGATTGCTGTTGGAACAGTCCTGTGCTATCTGGGGTCAGAGATTAGGAGGAGATCACTCTGCAGGCTCAGATGTGCACTCAGTGTGTAGTGATCAGAACCAGGTCCAGGTGGATTTCACTAAATATGAGTTCCCTGATTGGGGCTGTTAACTTGGACCAATCAGGGAGCCCTGGCTGACTGACATGAACAGGAGATTCAGAAGGTCTCCTCAGTCTAGGGTCTGGCTCTGAGCTGGCTGATCAGAGCCCATGTACTAACCACATGTAAAGAAAGGGTGACTTGGTGATGGCATACCTGCCTCCTTGGAGTGATTTTAACTTGGTTATGTCAGATCACAGGCTAACATCCCTGTTCTGCTGGCATTCATGCATATCATGAACAATGTGAAAATGACAAGATAGTGTATTTTTGCGATGCTGATTGAGGGATGGATGTTGGCGAGGTGACCAGGCTTTCTTTTCTTTGAAATGATACTGTAGGATGTTTAATATTCACCCAATGAGGCTATTGGGACCTCAGTTTAATGTCTCCACTGAAAGCCAGCACCTCTGGCAGTGCAGTGCTCCCTCAGTCCTGTCCCTGAGTTGACTTTCAGCCTTGATATTACACACTCAAACCTCAGAGCGAGACCTGAACCCGAACCTTAATCCAGAGGCCTGAAGTAGGGGTGATGAGACAAAACTTTAAATCTTACTACACCAGCTGCGACTTTGAAGTAAATAAATTTGGAATTGGAAGTTAAAACATGATCTTGTGACCTTTCTTATGACAGCCTGGTTCATTTTATGGGCTAACGTGATCGATTTTTCTTTCACGGAAGCACCTTAGATACCATCTTGCAAACCCACGACCACTTCAACCTGGATGGACAAGGGCAGCAGGTACATGGGAACACCACTGCCTTATAAGTTCCCTTCCAGGCCATGCACCACTCTAGCTTGGAAACATATCGTCGTACCTTTCCTATCACTGGGTCAAAATCACAGAACGTTCTCCCTAACAGCACTATGGGTGTTCTCACACCCCAAGGACTGCAGCTACTCAAGAAGGCATCCCACCACCACCATCTCCAGGGCAGCAAGGGATGGGCAATAAAGGTTGGCTGAGCTAGCGATGACCCCGTGTCCCACGAGTGAATTGAAAGCAATGACAAAAGCATGGTAATAGTAACTTTGAGATGATCTAGGTTGTCGTAAAAATATCCATTTGATTCACTGTTGCCTTCATAAGAGAGAGGGAAGTGCCATCCTTAACCTGTCTGACCTGCATGTAATGGTTGACCCCCTTAAATGAGGTGCCTTGTCCTTGCATTCTAGAAGGCAACTTAACGCTACCTTCTCGAGTGCACCTGGAGATGCCGCGTCCTGTCGCCATTTTTTTTTTTCTCTCTTTCTCTCAAAACAATAATGACCAGAGGTGGTGTTTTCGGTCGAAGGGACGCTCAGGTAGGGTGAGAAACAGCGGGTGAGAAGAGACACTGCTGACTCCCTCTGCTTTCTCTCACTGGCCAGGTGGAGGTGAAGCCGTACGTCTTGGTGGACCAGCTGTGCGACGAATGCCAGGGCGCCCACTGCAACGGCAAATTCGCCCCTTTCTTCTGCGCCAACATCACGTGCCTGCAGTACTACTGTGACTACTGCTGGACGAGCATCCATTCCCAGGCTGGTCGCGAATACCACAAGCCGCTGGTGAAGGAGGGCGGGGAGAGGCTGCGACAGCTACCGTTTCGCTGGAGCTGAGCATGGCCCGTCTCTCTCTCTCTCTCTCTCTTTTTTCCCCCCCCTTTTTGGGAAAGAAGGGCACCAATTTGCGGGACCCACGAATCGATATTTAGTGGCTATTTGTTAACCTGCCGTTCCTTTATCTAGAAGTGTTTGTGCACAGAATTTCCAACCCAGTATATCTTTTGTTTTTTTTTTAAGAAAAGAAAAAAAAACAAATCTGGCTTTGCCTGTTCACCCATCTTGTTAGTGCAGATGTATAAAATGAAGGTGTAATAGTGTTTTTTTTTTTGTAGTCCTCCAACGATGAAATTTTTTTCTTCTTTTTATTTTGGTCAGGGGTGAGGGATTTAATTGAATGCACCAAGCAGAGTGATTCTGGGTATAGGGTGGGGTTAATGAGTGTTCTGGGGTGATGGGGGTTTGGGGGTGGCGGGGGGCGGGGGGAATGTGGTGGGCATGAATTGTGCCGTTGAGTGAAGGGTCCACTCGTGCCAGAATTGCATGCATTGATCAAAAGTGGTATGGAAATATAGTGTGCTGTGACGCTGCAGCGCCCGGGTGATTGTTGACAGCTGGCGAAGATGAAACTAAGTCCTTCTGAGTGACAGATCTCCCGACAGCCCATGGTTGTACAAGCGCACACGTCTGTCCGTCACTGATCCACTCTCACGCATCTACCTCCCCTGGCTTCTGCTGAGTCAGCGAGTCTCGTTTTGGTCGCTCCGACGCAGGAATTCGGGAGCAGTGTCACGTCTTGAGGTTTCTGGTTGTCACTGGAGTCTGCTGCTGTGTGCATGGTCCGGGTTTCAGGTGGGGAAATAGGCTCGCTTGCAACACCTTTCCCAGATGCTGACATCTGTCTCGGTCGGGCATCTTGGCCAGTTTCGTGGGGTGTGCTATGAAAGCTGTCAGAACATGTTCAAGATTCAGGACATGAAGGGTGAGGATGGATAAACTGGAGTCTCTATGACTTGTGTTCGCATCTTCTGGTTTGATGATTGAAATCTGTGTACTTCTCCTTGTCATACAGGGGTCAGTTGCCTGATCTTAAAAAAAATCCAGAATTTTGAATGTATTCAGCAGTGACTAAGATGTTTACACTACTTGAGCAGTTTGTCAGGCGAGCTAGTTGGCCATCTTGGGTCATCTTCCCAAAGATACTTCTGTCCAGGATAGGGCACTAGCACTTCTGAGAAAAACAGATCAAATCTGAATTTGAAGGGAACTGGATGCCGTGTTATGTTCATTCATGTCATGTGTCTTCCAGTTTTATTTGGCTACGAGGCCCCTGCACGGACTGAGCTGAGACAATCTCAGTTCAGTTCCAAGGATATCTGAGCCCCAGACTGCACATCTGCTGTTGTGGCACGCAGTTGGCATGGCACTGGAGCCCTTCTGGGGCAGAAGAGGGGCATTTCACTCTGTAGATTTTCCACCTGGTCGTGCTTGCTGTTGATGCTCAGTGCCTGAAATGGGACGTGTTTGTTCCTCGTCAGTTAGCATCCATCCCTTTGCTGAGGGCAGAATCCAAAAAGTGTTCTTGGATGGTCGATGATGAATAAAGCTCCTCTGGGAACAAACAAAAACACAAGATTCTGTGTCAGTTACAGATTAGGTCTTTGGAGTGCATACCTTCACCCGTCTTTCTGCTCAACTGTTTTGGAAGAGTTGATGCTGTCGTGCAATCACTTGGCTGGTCTTTGCCTATAATGTCATCTTGGGACAAGCATTGTGCTGCCACTGACCTCTTGATCACATCTTTTCTGTGGTTTTTGGTTTAATGCAGTGAGGCTGGCAATCGGAGCAATATCCACCTTTTTCAAACTGCAGCCCTGTACTTTTACCAGAATTATCTTCACTTTGTGAGTGTTTGGTCCCTGTGCACTCTGCATTAGGGTTAGGGTTCTCCTATTCCAGCCTAGTTAATGTCATAGCATGACAGCCCCACAGGATAAGAGAGCAGCAACAAAAGACACAGACGCTCTGGGTCATATCTGTTATGAAAGTGTGAAGCAAACAGCCTTGTGGAACTGTGCCTCTGATGCAGGATGAGAGGAGGGGACTGTCATGGAAGCTGGTGCGTGCAATCTAAGTGACACACTTTGTGCGAAGGCCCATTGTTTGTTCTGTTGGACAAAATGTTTATTTTTTTCCTAGCTTACTCTCAATTTGGCAGCTAAAATAGGTGTCTGCTTCCCAGTTCATCACTTCTTTATTGTGCACAGTTTGAGTTTCGTGGCTGAATTTTTAATGCTTTCTCTTTTCTGCTGCCCACCTTGTTGGCATAGTTCCTTCCACAGTGCTGAATATTACTTGAAGAATTCCCTACAAGTCTCTGGGCTGGTCTTCAGCAGCTCATAACGAATCTTCTTCCCAATCTCCCAAGCACCAGGAGGTACTTTTTGTTTTGCCTTTCACTGGCTTATTAGTCAATCCAATCTCGGACAGTGTACCATGCCACCTCATCATCAGATGAGCCTTGGGTCTGTCCTCGTACTGAGGCTTCGCGTTATACTTGGATGGAGTATGGATATAGAGAGGGGTGCTCCCTTAACCACATCCTCTGGTTGGTGTTGTGTCCAATGCAGTGTTTCTGTAGGGAGATGGTGAAGTCCACTTCAGCCGCTTCTGAATCCCCTCTCCCAGCTCTAGCCATCAGCCAGAATTGTGCTATTCGGTGGTTCGGTTTTGACTCAACCAAGTACACCCTCTCTCTCACACAGCCCCACTCACATTGCTCATACCCCAACAAAAGGCCTGCATCCTGCAACCAGAACAACTGAACCTTCCTTGGCTTGGACTTATTTGAGCAGCCTTTGTTATGTTTCACAGTGCGTTATTGTTGTTGAGTCGATCATGGAAGGCCTGGCTTCCCTGTGTCGATCCGAGATTTGTGTCCAAAGCACTCCTGACATATAGGGAAGGCAAGAGACAAGTCAGGGGTCCTCTTTGTGCTCACCACCCCTTGTTGTCTGGCTTCAGGGAAGGTTAGCCACAGCACAACTGTGTGGTCGAGTAGCAGGTTGTGGATTGTAATTTGCTGGTTCATTTGGAAGATCACTCTCATGGACACATTGTTGGAGCAAAAAGAACATGAGCCCAGGAATTGGCTGCACGTGTTAGGAAATGAATGTCATGTTGATTCTATATAGCACAAACAGCATTTTAACACTTTCATCCCATCACCACACCACACGCCAACACGAAACAGTAACACAGTGAAACCACCTTACTTTTATCTGAGTGCAAGGATGTGCATGCTGTTTGTTAACTTATCCCTTTGTTCATTGGAGTTTTGTTCTTCACTTATCCATTAGGTTATCTAATGTAGAGAGTGTGTTGGGAGCAGTTACTTGGTTATGGCTCCATTCTACTGTCTACCTTTCTCTGTCACATGAGCCCTTGAAAAGCCGCCACTAATGCCTCTGTTCGACAGTCAGCCCCAGCTCAATGCAGCGCAGTTCACGTACCGTTTGTATCCTTTCTGCACTAAGGCAACTGAGAGTGCATAGTCTCTCTCTCCCCGACACACACACACACACACACACACACACACACAGGCACACACACACACACACACACACAGGCACACACGTTTCTGATCGAATGTCCTGACAGAAATAGAAACAGAGATGCCAAGCATCGGTCATCGAGGCTGAGAGTTTATTTGTTTATCGATTTTTTTTTTTTCCTTTAGTTTCATCTGATTAGAAGGTTGTTTTCTCATTTTAAAAAGAAATTTGTGAGACACTTTCAGGTAAGGTGGTTCCTAGAAATGTGGGATGTACATCCGCCTGATTGTCCGAGACAAATGGTAGCCTAAATTAGATTCAGTTCGAGAGATTTTTCTGGATGGGCAGTGAGAGATTGCTTGCATTGTTTTTCTTCTCCCCCCTTGGTCTGTTGAGATGGAGGAACTTCATCACGAAGCAACAGATTAGACCATTAAACCATTAAAGATGAGAGGTGGGCGTATTAGTATATTTTATTGAGCTTTTCTAGTCTTGGACGAGGCAGCTGCAGATCGAGCTGGTGAGTCAGCCAGGGCCTCCCTGTCTGGAGTACTGTTGTTGCGGTACGTGTGGCAGAGGGGATGAGCAGAACATCAGGCTGAGTGAGGTGCGGTCTATCCAGTGTATCGAAGGGGCTGAGTAATGGTCACAGAAGACAGTTGCCAAGGGTGGGTTGCCATGTTGAGTCTGCAGAGGTGGTGGACACATATGGTGACGTGTCGAATGGCCTCTATGAGGCATATACACGTGTTCTGTGATCACAGTTGGCATCCCGCAGTTGTTGGGAATCAGATTGAAGGAGCGGGTAAGTGTTGGTGGTTCCGAGGTGGTGAGGCAGAAGTATCATAAATTGTGGTGAGGTGTGGTGGGGGGGTGGGTGGATAAGGATTGAAAAGTAATTGGAAGATTTTGGGGGAGGAGATGTAGAAGGGAACAGGGAAAGTGTAATATTTCTTGTACAACAGCTGGTGTATCTGCTCTTGCATTAATGTAATAATTCAAACCCCTACCACCACCTTAACTGAACTACCAGTGTTTGGTATAATTGACACTTGAACTAGATTTTAGCAGTTTTGTAAAGAAAATATATAAATCAAAAAAATGAGATGCTGCTTTTTCTACTAAAGAGTCACATGATTTTTGTATTTTTGTATCGCAACTTTAATGTCCAGTGATGTTTTCTATTACTAATGCTTGTATGTAATGTTAAACATGGACATGTGACTCTGTAGATATCTAGTAGATACCTCAGTTTTTTTTTCAATTTTAAAATCTTATTTTTTTTTCTCTAAAGTAAGTATATTTCGGTTCTGCAAAGACTGACAGATAATTTATCTTTTAGTTTAGTTGGGAGATAACATATATAAATATATATAAATATATATATAAAACAGTATGCACACTGTAAAATTAAAAATGTATGAGGTCTGAGGTATATTGTTTGACAATGAGAATTTGCCAAATAAACGCTTGATTTCTGTGAGAAATGTCCTTCAGTATACTTTTCTTCCTATGTGTGTGTGCATTTGTGTTCCAGCTGGAAGACTTTAGGGCAAGCTCAACATACCAAGCAAGATGAGTCTGGGCAAGTTGTTGACATTATATGCTATGGTGTTGATTGAGTTTAATGTGTTTCATTTATAGTGGATACAAGTTTGGACCTATCTTTTTCTGCAAGGACGAGTCAGAAGTGGCCAAGCTGGTCATGGTCCGGTTGAGGTATTGGTGGGTAAGAGGACATAAAGAGTTAACATGGAGGCTCACTCAGACTCAATTACTCAGAATCTGGGAAGCAGGCCAGGAGTGTATCAGAGTGTCATAAACTTCAGTCCCTCCAAAACACATGCCCTGTTGTGACTCTGACCACATTCCATTTGCCCATCAGGCCTGTGCTCGCTCGCCTACATTGGGCAATGTCACAAACTTAAAATTCTAATCCTCATTGTTAAACCCCTTCATGGTCCCAAACCTCTTCCAACTCTCTGAAGATGTGTTCTTGTGCACCCCTGATATTTATCACCATACCACTGATGATGATCCTGCCTTCAAATACCTCAGCTCTGAGCTCTGAAATTTACCCCCCCTAATCATTTCTACCTCTCTGCTTCCTAACATGGTCCTTAAAGCACCCCACCCCCCCACCTTTTGATCAATCATCTGAGCACAGGTCCTATTATCTTTGGCTTTGAAATACTAAAATCTTGGCCAGAAGTTCTCTGTTTATGATCCTGTGATGTTGCATTGGGATTTTGAACTACATAAATCCAAGTCATCGTCATTCTTCAGGATAGACAAACAGGAGGCTGGAAGAACACAGCAAGCCAGGCAGCATCTGGAGGAAAGGAGCAGTCAACATTTCAGGTATTACCCGAAAGAAGGGTAATACCTGAAACTTTGACTTCTCCTGTCCTCCAGATGCTGCCTGGCTTGCTGTGTTCATCCAGCCTCTAGTCTGCCTACCTTGGATTCTAGCACCTGCAGTTTTTTTTTGTCATTCTTCAGGGAGTTTGCGGGTAAGATGCTTTATAGGCTGGGCAAATGCACTGCGAAAGTGGCTCTGGTTTGGATACTGCTAACTGGAGGAGGGGAAGCAGTCAAGTTGAGTCCTTAGTTGTGAACATATAAGAAATTTCTTTGTTCATTTTGAAGCATTGATCTGTGCTCTGCAGGTCCGAAGGGCCACCTTCTCCACGTACTGTGCTTGTCAAACGTGACCTTTTTGCAATCAATGAAGAGATACCCGGCAAATAAAGATTTCAGTGACACCAGCAAAGTTACTGTTGCAACAGAATGTCTTGTCTAACTCGGTCACTTAGGAAAACATTAGCGTCACAACAATGACCCTGCCGCAGAAGCAGATCGAAGCCATTGACCACTTTCTAAATAAATAAATCTCGTTGCTCGACAGACATGTCACTCAAGGTCAACATTCAACCGAGCTTGCGAGACTCCAGGAAGCATTATTGCAAACATTAACATGAATGCTTTGTGCAAATAACACAACTGGATCACTGACATGTGCAACATCCAAACAACTGCAGGTATTTGTTTCTTTTCTGATTAGAGATAAGCAGGAGCTGACCAGTTCGCCCCTTGATTCTGTTCCTGCAGTTCCATGCATATTTTTAATGAGGTGTAGCTCAAACATGTCAACTCATTAAACTGGCATTATAATTAACACCGTAACTTCGGGACCAAGCGATTTCACTGTTTTAGCTCAAGGCTTTTGTTTCACCCTCCCACAACAAAGCACAGACAAACAAAGTCATCGGTTTGCAGCCCATCGTCGTGGGTTTATGTCTCCGATGACAAATGAAGCCAATAGCCTAGTCTCACCCGGCTGTGTACAGTCTCTCTCCAATGTAATGTACGTTTCAGTAAAAGGGGCGACTGAAGAAATCTGCTCAGAGTGACATTAAAAAGGTAACAGATAAACAAAAGTCACTTTTTGCTGTAGTCATAACTCGGATCATCCATGCCAAAAGTTAGCATCATTCCTATTCAAAGATCTAATAAATATCTGCCAAGTCAACAATTTACTTAAAAAGTACTTTTGAGATGTTGACTCAAGTGCGGACTGGAGGCAATGAGCTTTCAACTTTCCCTTCAATGTTAACACAGTCAAAAAAAATAAAAAGGAATATAAATAAAATTACATTCGGAAGACCTTTCATCAAGTCACAAAACTTATCCCACAGTGCTTCATGTGAGCAAACAACAGGTGGCTTAATGTAGCAAGTGATCCATTCATCTGTTCTGAGTAGTTGGGAGAGAGAGCAGATGGAGCCTTTTTGTAACATATCATGCCAAGCAGCACTCCTGCAACTTGGAGGTGTGGTTCCAGAATCAGATCTAAGAGCTGAAGTTGGGCTCAAACCCACATCTTCCTGATAATTTACCAGCAGAGGTTCACAAGCGGAGTCAAGCAATTTTAAATCCCAAACTGTTTACAAGTCCATTCTTGCTTGAAATTGCGAGATTGGTATGACAAAACTGATTGTCAAATATCACTGAGGCAGTGACTCTAATTACATTGTGTAACAGATACAGGCCAACATGGGGACAGAGTCAGATCTTGCCACAGTCTATCTTAACTTTGCAACCACCCTGTTTGCCTGGAGAAAGTCGGTGAATAGGAAAGGGAGCAAAGACAGTTTTCCCTAAATGTTGGGTGCAATCTCCCCTAAATGCAGCAAGCATTGGATCTCCAGAACTTATCAGAGGACCGCTTTTGACTTTGCTTAAAATGGCATTCCACCAGATGATGACTGGTAGTTTAACTTCCTCACATTGAAATTTTTGAAAGTGGTCAGGTTGACGTTGGTCAGTCAAGGCGTTGCCCTGAGAAATGTCCGAGGATGTGGCTGTCACCTGCTTTGCTGTGTTGAAACAGGCACAAGGTGTGTACTTTAAATAAAAACAAAAGTCTGAAGCAAAAGCAGAAACTGCTGGAGAATCGTAGCAGGTCTGGCAGCATCTGTGGAGAGAAAAGAGTTCACGTTTCAAGTCTAGTGACTGTTCGGAGGAAGGGTCACTGGACTTGAAATGTTAACTCTGTTTTCTCTCCACGGAAGCTGCCAGACCTGCTGAGTTTCGTCAGCAGTTTCTGCTTTTGTTGCAATGTGTGCGTGTGTTCCATAAATGTATTTTCTTTGTCAAACCTCTCCTCATCAGAGCCCATTTCCAAACAAGGTCAGAAGTCGCATGATACCGAGTTATCATCCAATAGGTTTATTTGAAATCATAAGCCTTCATCAGGTGAAGGAGCAGCGCCCTGAAAGGTTGTAATTTCAAACAAACCTATTGGACAATAACCTGGTGTTGTGCGACTTCTGAAATTGTCCACCCCAGTCCAATACTGGTACCTCCCCATCACGGCTATCACTGCCAAACAACCAGCACTTTTCCCTCATAAAGTATCAATGCAATTTTCCCCTTACGTTGGTATTTCTTACAAAATATCCTGCTAAGTACAAGATCAGAAGCTTTGACCAGATGTCTTTTTATTTCAACACTCCAGTTCTGTGCAACCAGGCAACTATAATAACTTGTTCTTCACCCTGGACAGAGGTCGGCAAGAATTTCTGTCAAGAATCATACTCAACGAAGCCCCTTCTGCCACCATCAGCCAAGACTAAATCTCAAGAGGGCACTAGTTGTTAAAAACTGAGCAACCATTTGGACATTGTCCAATCTATGCACAACCGCTTTGGGAAAACTGGTTGCCAGAAATCCCAGATAAAGGAACGCCAATACAAGAACAGACGCTGCAAGTTCTGTTTGTTTATCAGTAAAATAGAAGTACTGTGCTGGGAGATCAGAAAAGCGATCACCATTTTTTTATAACAGTATGATACTGATGCAAAAGGAAGCCATTATGCATTTTAACAGTGCCAATTTTTTTGTCTTTTCCCCAAATCCCACACATTATTAGTGTTGAAATAATCATTCAATGCCTCTCTTTTTTGCCTCAGCTGAACCAGCCTTCACCATAATTTCCAGATACGTCGTTCCACAACCTCGCTACGAGTTGTTTTAAAATGTTTTTTTTTTGGCTCTGCTCACATTTCCTTCTTTTGCAAAACATGTTGAAACTGTGTCTTCTAGTTCTTGATCCAGTTACAAGAGAGAACAATTTCTCCTGATCACCCTGGCTAGACACCATACAATTTTGCAAACTTCGATCAAACGTCCTCTTGGCCTTCTCCTCTCCAAGGTACATAATCATCGCCAATCCACCCACATCACCGAAGATTCTCATCACTGGAAACATTCTTGTAAACTTCTTCTGCACTCTCTCCGTTGCATTCACGTCCTTCCTAAAATGTGGCACCCACAACCATTGACAATACTTAAGGTGAGGTCTAACATATCATACGTAAGGCATCATAACTTCCTTGCTGACCTATTCTCCGCCTATACTTATGACGGTCGAGGATACTGTTTGCGTTACTAACAGCTCTCTCTATCTGTCCTGCCATCTTTCATGATTTATGTACGTACACTCTTAAGTGTCTCTGGTGCTGCACATCCTTTAGAAAAGCACCCCTTATTTTGTACTATCTCTCCACGTTCTTCGTACCAAAGTGCACTTCTCCATGATGAATTTCATCTGCCACCTACCAGCACTCTCCACCAACTTGTCAATGTCCTTTTGAAGTCTGCACCATCCGCCTCACAGATTGCAGTTCTCCTAAGTTTTGTGTCAACTGCAAACCTTGGAATTGTCCCCTGCATGCCAACTAGGTAATTATTTAAATTTATATCAGGACTTGAGTACTTTCTCCCTTACTTCAACTCCACCTATTAACTTATTCTACTGTATTGTGGTGCTACCTGCTTCTCCCGGCATTTTGTGTGCCCCGATATTCCTTCCTAATATTCTCTCATTGTTCACTGTCCCCTGCTGAGTTGGTTTAAACTCTACGCAACAACACGTGCAAAATGCCTGACAAAGAACTTAGTCCTGGCTTTGTCCAGGTG